TCTTGCTCTGATACTTACATTAAAGAACATGCCATGTTAATATCAGCTGGTTTTAACCTTTCCAACTCGCTCACAATCATCCTGGTGTCCTATGCTTTCATTATTGCTGCCATCTTAAGGATCAAATCAGCTGAAGGAAGGTGCAAGGCATTCTCTACCTGTGGTTCCCACATGATGGCTGTCACATTGTTTTATGGGACTCTCTTCTGCATGTATGTGAGACCACCCACTGACAAGACTGTAGAGGAATCCAAAATAATAGCTGTCTTCTACACCTTTGTGAGTCCACTGCTGAATCCATTGATCTACAGTCTGAGGAATAAAGATGTAAAGCAGGCCTTGAAAACAATACTCAGGCACAAAGTTATCAAGACAGAGTTGATGCCTCTTCCTTTCAATAAACTGCAACAATAGTATCCTAACAAATATATTTGTGTTTTGGTAAGTTTTTCATATTCTCTGTGGCCATATATTTTATATCCTAATTAGATGTTCTATGTGTTGAAATAAATCATTTGGGTAATTTTTGTCCTATTTTGTAGCCTGCAATTCATGGACCAATAATAGTTAATATTCACAGTCAGTTTAATTAGATTGAAAACCACCTAGGAGATATATCTCTTTCTCTCGTTGTATAGATAGATCTAGAGGTTAACCTGAGGAAGAATATACTTGTTGAAAGTACATCGAACCATTTCCTTATGTTGGTATGAACTGAATGAAAATTAACAGAGAGGAAGGCACATAAACAGTCATTCAACTCATGCTTCCTCATTGTGAACACATTGTGACTAATGCACCTCAATCCTGCCTGTATATCTTCCTACCATGGTGACTTATCTGTTTTTAGATAGTCTTCTTCTATTACATTGTTCCTGTGAGGTGTTTTCTCATAGCAAAGAGCACAGCAGTTTATGCAAAGTAGTAGCATAGATATCACTGCATTACATATTAAAACAGTGAATCACATTCCACCTTAGATTATGGGTTCAAATCCATATTGTAGACAGGTTCCTAGATTAGCCAGCATATTGTATTTGAAAAAGGGCTATTCAACGTAAATACTTCTGATTGCTGTGCTTTCTGCCTGTATTCCTACTGTGAACTTGTTGTTTAAAAGAATTAACAGGATATAGTGGTTCTCCGATAAACACCTTTCAGTGAGAGAACTATCAGCCTTTTTGCTGCAGATTTTTAAAGAAACAATGATGAATCTGTACTCCTCCACCTACTTACTAGTTAAAATGAGGAAATGAATCAGGAAAATGATTTTCGTTTCTCACTGATGTGCTTCTGTAGAGGAGGCATGCAAGTAGCCCTAAACTGATAGATTAGACTTTGTATATGTAAGACTGTGGATCCAGGATTCTGTGTTTTGTAAGCCTATATTTAAGATTCAAGGTTGGGAGATCACTTTTGATTTCATCTTCATCTGTCAGTTTAGAAGATGTTGGCCTGAGAGTAAGGACTAAAATCAGAAAGAAGGAGACAAAAAAAAATGAGTAGGCAGTAAGCCATAACAGACAGCTATGTTATTGCATTGACTGGTCCTTTTCTTACTAACTCCTTTTAGAATAGTAACGTTTGTTTTATTCTTCATTAGACATGGCAGTGAGGATTTTTTTGTAAACAAATAAAGCAATTTCTTTGGCAGCACAGATCAGTATATGTTTTGTTATTGTTCATCTAGAACCACCTTGGCTACTTAATTTTATAATTTGCATAGCCCCATCTAAATGTCAAAGAAAACAGAATTTCTTATAAATATTTCATAAAATTCTCCAGTACTCAAGATAAGATTATACATGCATATCAGTGTTTAAACATAACTCAGGACTATAAGTTCATGTTATGTCTTATGTCATATTGCTTAGTCCATATCTGTTGCAAGAATATATTTTAGGTACATGTAAATGTAAGTTTCTGCTTTATTTTTAAGATTAGTCTATCTTGGTGATTCTAGTATGTTTATTTATTTTATAGATTCTTTAATATTTTCATATGTAACATGTAAGTAAAACTATTTAATTCCCTTCCATTTCATTCATTTCTTATTCCTTCCTTGTTGAATGTCCTTATCCTGGAAGGACAACTTTGTGAAGAGGTAGATGAATGTCTTTCCTTGTGCCCTACTAGTGAGGATACTTATTTCATATATGACTAGTGTATAGAGTTGGCTACACTTTTGTAATTTTCATTGTTTATTTTAGTTTTTGTTTTTGTTTTGTTTTTCGGTACAGGGTTTCTCTGTGTCGCCCTGGCTGTCCTGGAACTCACTCTGAAGACCAGGCTGGCCTCAAACTCAGAAATCTGCCTGCCTTTGCCTCCCAAGTGCTGAGATTAAAAGCGTTCACCACCCCTCCTGGCTCATTCTTTATGTTTATTGTGCACAATACATTACATTAATAAGTACATTGTAATATAAGTATTTGTTGTATGTTGAAGATACTTTACATCTCTCCTACACTTTACCATATGTCATTCTTTCCTCTGTCCATTAAATTGCATTTAGACTCCAAAAAATATTATTCGTTAATGTAATGTAAGTATGAGTTTTTAATACACACACAGTTGCATGGTCTCTCACACACACGTACACACACATACATATATGCACACACACATACATACATATGTATACACACACATACACACACACACATGACTTTATCTATTGTTTCTTTATCTATTGTTTATCTATTTGTTTACAACTCATCCTTCATCAGTTTAGGAATTTGGAACCAAATTTATACATCTATGATTATTCTCACTTTTTTTTAGTTTATGAAGATTTGTTGATATAATTTGTTTTCTTGACAGAAAATCAAATCTGAATGTATTATTTATTAATAGACTTGGTGTCTTGAAATTTTGCTGAAAAAATATGTTTAGGAGATACCTATACTGTAAAAATTTGCTTTCTAATGATTTTATTATGTTTAATTATATGATATTACTGGTCTAATAAATCATTAAGACAATGACATTAATAGTTTTGTAATGTGACTACTTAGTTTTTTTCATAATTGTGAGAATATTTACAGTACAAAATTCCAGCTTTGAAAGAATCACAAAAAAAAAAGCAAAGTCCAGGAATTATGTCAAAACATTAAACCATTACTAGTTGTTGAAACTATTTTCTTGTAGCAAGCAGTGATTCATAACAAAAAAATCCTCTGAGAATCAATTTTTAAACACATGAAATATGGAGCTCATGATGACTACAAGGTGATGCAATTCCACTGCTCAAATCCCACGGTTCTATTGAACACACGTCTAAGCCAATTACTATGTTTCTTTAATTATTTCTTTGGGTTGTGTTAGAAACTATTTTGGGAATAAACTCTCCAAGTTACAAATAGGCCTTAAATCATTTTAAGTAGTTCCTTGGTTGGACTTCTACTGTTTCTTTTAGAAATTTTCCTGAATTCAGGTAGGAATGAATACTATGATCTTTGTATTTCTAATTTTTCTTTTTGCTTCAGTTTGAATAGTCATCATGAGGAATCAAGTGTCAACAAAACTGATTGAATAGTAGTCTAGGGTCTTATCTTGCTGAAGTAAGTGAGTATGTGTGTGTTACTTAGATTGGTAACTGAAAAATATTAACATTTAATTGAAATTATTTGTTTATAATAATCATCCTTGTTGCCAAATTGCATTTAAATAATTAGTTCAAAGATTAATGGCCACAGGGAAGAAGTATATTGTTCATCACATTGATAATATCAAAATATATTTTAGGGAAAGTCTTTAGTACACACAAAACACTTTCATCAAAAATTAATAGGGAAGAAGCCCATAAATTGGAAAAAGAGGAAGGATGGATATATGGGAGCGTTTAAAGGGAGGTAAGGGAATGAAAAAATGAAATAATTATATTGCAGTCTTAAGAATAAAATAATTCATAAAAATCAAAGAAAAATACATTATTTTGAAATTTATTCTTTCTTGCAAAATTTAAGAAATTTACCTTCAGATTATTGAAGAGAGAAAATTGGGATCAATGTTAATGTATCTAATAGGTGTGTTAGAAAGTATGAGTTCAGAATTGGTAGATTAAATATTTAAAGATAGGTGTTGTAGAAAATGGAGATACTTTGGAAACTGTTCAATATCTGGCACTGAATGGGTGATAACTCCAAATATTATGGAAAGAATGTGATTCTGTCATGGAAAATATTATGATTTGAGTGAATTCTTAAAAAACTGTCACTAACAACATAGAAGATTATATGAATCTCCATTGTCTAGTGTGACCTAGAAGTCAGGATCATTCATTGTAAAGAGGTAACATATTGTGTCCTCTTATTTGATAAGCATGGCAGTGAAAAACTAAGAGTGATTGGATGTGCTGGAATCCATGATGATAAAGCATACAAGAACAGTGTGTACTCCCAGGAAGTTATTTATAGGTGCCATAACTAATAACTTCTTTTCTCACTGAGGCCAGACAAGGCAGTCCTTTACTGTACATGTGTCAGGGGCCTCAAATCAGCTGGTGTATGCTGCCTGGTTGGGGCTCAATGTCTGAGGATTTCAGAGGTCCAGGTCAGTTGAGACTGTTGGCCTTCCTATGGTGTCATCTTCCTCCTCAGCTTCTTCCAGCCTTTCTCTAATTTAACCACAGGAGTCTCCAGCTTATACCCGTTGGTTGGGTGTAAGTATCTGCATCAGACTCTTTCAGATGCTTTTTGGGCCTCTTGGAGGACAACCATGCTAGGCTCCTGTTATCTGATTTATTTATATTTTTATTTTTTCAATCTAGATAGAAGTTGATATTATAGAGCCAGTAAAATTTTGTGATGGGCTATATTTTTATTTGATTTCATAAAGAATATACAGGTTAAAAAAGCCTTATCAGTATTTATGTTTACTCATAGTTAATAAATTTCATGTAGATCAACAAAGTCATAAGGAAAGGGCTATTTATTAGGATGTCTGCTGTCTACTGTTTTCTATCATGATGTCTTTGTGATATTTCTCATATACATTGAATAACTTCCATTTCAATTGAAAGTTTCCCATGGAATGTCTCTGTATGAAATCTTGAAATTTCTTGGGTGTTCTTCTATTCTTGTCCTACTAGAAAATTATTAAAAATGCCTCAAACCCCAGGTCATCCCTATTATTTCTCAATGTCTATCCTTATTTTCAAACACAAATTTCTACTTAGATCAAATTCATATTGCTGAATCATGACATTTAACTATAATTTTCTTCACCTTTATTATATGACATTAACCACCCCTTTTCTAAGCAAAAACCATTATTGGTTATCTTGTTTTGTTTTGTTTTTCTTCTCCAGTACACATGGTGTTCTAGTACACAGTCACCTGTGTATTAGGTTATTTTAATTAAGCATGCAGCATCCTGAGAGTGCTATTAACATAATTTGTACTTGTGTTTGATCA